TTTAAGTGTGTGTTTAATCTTGCATTTATATATGTATATATATGTTATATATATATATATATATATATATATATATATATATATATATATATATATATATATATATATATATATATATATTTATATATATATATATATATATATATATATATATATATATATATATATTTATATATATATATATATATATTATATATATATATATATATATATATATATATATATATCAGACTTGGTCAGGAAAGCGTGCAATTGCGCACCATTATATGCCACCCAGATAATAATATTGTTTTGATAATTTAACCATGGCTGTTAATTTGACATACTTTTAAAATTTGAACATTTTAAAAATGAAAAAAACTTATCAAGACTTAACTAAAAAAAAAGTTAAAAATTAAAAAAAAAAAATCCTAATGAAAGAGAAAACAAAAAGAAAAATTTAGCATAACTAGAATAAAGCACTAAGATTATATAAAATAAGATTTATATCTTTTATGTAACTAAAAACTTTTACTGTTTTAATATGGTTATGAGAAATCTTTTTAAATAAAGATTTATGATATGCCTGGAGTGAGAATGAAGTAAAAATACGTAATTTTTCAAGAATCAGTTTTAATAGTAACATAATTTTAATTTAAGAACTGCGTAATTATCAAAATTTAAAATTAACCAATCACATTCCACTTTTTAAAAAAAATTATCCAATAATATTGTTTTAAAATATCATAAACAATCAATGCATTGCAAATAAAAGATAAGTTCAGAAAAATTTGTAAACAATATTCAGATATTCAATATTTTTTTTATGTTGTGCTTTTTGAAAGACTAATAAAGTTTCTAGATTAGAATTGAATTAATAAATATATAGAGAAGATTTGGTAGTATTTTTGCCAGATTTACAAAAAGGTATTTTATATATCTATAATTAATATATAGCAATTTGTTTTTAAATTCACCAAAAATACTACAACTATAATAAGTTCATCGCCGAAAAAAGGTTTTTTAGGAAATTTAGGTTCAAACAAGTTGTAGATACTGTCTAAAACTTTGATATTTATACTTAGTATTAAATTATTCAAAAATGGATTACTTTATGTAGATTGTAATTTTTGTTGTAATTACTTCTTAGTAGTTTGAACAGTAGTTAAAAACTTATCCAGTCAAATTTAAAGAGAGTAATCCACATTGATTACAGCTTTCAAAGATTACAAACTACAATTTTCCTTTTTCAACACAAAAGTACTATTTAATTTGCTGCTGAAATAATTAAACAACTATGACTGCACCACATTTTTAAACGATTTTTGGTTTTGTTCTTCCTCCAGCTAGTCTATTATATCTGTTTGTTTTAAATAAAGAAACAACTAACTTCTAATGATTTTTTAATAAATATGCACATTTAATTTAAATTATAGTGTTTTATTTTTAATTTAAAATAGTAAAATTTTATATAAACACTATCTAGTTAAAAATTATGCTTTAAAACTCCTTTTTAAACCATTTCATGCTTTGTTTTAAGTGCCAAGTTGTGTTCTTTGTTTTAAATGCCAAAACAAGTTGTGTTCTTATTAAAGAAAATGTATAAAAAAAAAAGTTTGGGCAAAATTTTTTTGATTAGAATTAGATAAATTTTTTTTTTTTTTAGTTTTAAATTTATTAGATAATAGATTACAACTGAAATTGTTGTTTTAATTGAAGCTCGATTTCTCCATTTTAATTTGATTCTTTGAGTTTTTATAATATACGCCGCAAATTTACAGACTTGTTAAGTTATTTCACAAATGTTTTGTAGGAATTTTTTTCTTAAAATGTTTAATTTTTTTTCCTCCACTATCTGCAAATCATATTTATTTTTATAATTTTTTAGTAAACATTCAAAAATATTTGTAATACAATTAACAATAAAATAATAAATTTGGTTTTTATTAGCACAACTTATTTTTAACAATCATAAGTATAAATCTTTATCAAGATTTGGATAAATAAATAATAGTGTATTTTTACATCATGACAAAATAAATATTGTTTATCCATGTAAGAATATATTGAAAAAAATTCTACAATATTTTTATACCTAAACTCTTGCAAAACACATGTAAAATAAAGTAAAATGAAGAAGCAAAGCTACAATTAAAACAATAGTTTAAGTTTTTGTTGATATACATTTATTATTTAGTTTTAATCAAAAAAGTTTAGTCTAAATGTTGTTTTTTTTTTAATTTCTTTAATATGAACACAACTTGTTAGGCAGTTTAAGATCTTTTAAAACATACATTTATGCTTTTTTTTTCTTTATTTAAAAATAACCATTTATCATTAAAAATACGTAATTATATAAATATATGTATTATTCATTATTACTTTATATAAAAAATCATTATCCGTAATTTTAAAAGTGTTAAAACATTAGTATATATATATATATATATATATATATATATATATATATATATATATATATATATATATATATATATATATATATATATATATATATATA